TTATTATTGTATTGTTCTAATGTTTAGGGAATTGGATTCTGAATTGTGACCTTCCTGTGATAAACACTGTATTAAGGTCTTCACCTTGTTTGTTGTGGTCCTATTTTGTTGATCTTTTGGCTGAACTTTTTTATGAGGACAAAGTACACAGTAGCTTTCAGGTGATGACATTAAAAAAATTTAAAAAACATAAAAAACCCTCCAAACAAACAGAGGTTAACTTTAGATTGTATAAACAGCAGATTAAATAATTTACCAATAGTTTTCCCTTCTTTCACGCATACTCCACGGTATTTTAAAGCCTGTTGTTTCAAGAGAAGGACCAAGAACGCCATTGCTTTGCTACCAGTAGCTCCCCCCTCTACCTGCCTTCCTCTTCTCCCTCTCTCCTTTGGGTACTGCCTGCAGTTGACCTGAACGAGGAGGAAATAAAAAGGCGTCAACAGTGGCATATTTTTCTAAGTCTCCCTGACCTTAATCCATTATCTGTCTGACAGATCCTTGTCTAACGATTTTCTGTTGTTTCCTGAGGCTTGTTGTTTCCTGTATGATCTTGTGAAAGCTGCTTACATCCTGATGTTGCTTTGGTAGGACTTTGCTTACTTCAGCAAGATTTTTATTTCTCAGAGCCTCCTGTCTCCTGCTGGGTCACAGTAGAGATTTTGAAACTGGGCATAGTTGTTTCTGGGTGTTGGATTTCAACTAATTATCGTCCATTGTGTTGCACATCATTTCTGGAGTAACTTTTGTGGGGGCTTCACCCATTCAAATGTATTTATGTGTGCATGCTTGCCATGAGAATTTTAGGACTAAAATAGAATTTTAATTGGAAAATTGAGCTTGTGTGATGTAGAAATGCAGATAGTTCAGAAGAATTGGAATAGCTGATATGTCATAATGGGATCGAGTCTGTCAACACAGAGAGAGCAAGTGTATAAGCTGAGGTGAGGTGGGTCGATACTTGCTGTGAATAAATTTCAGATCCACTTCACACCTATAGCTGCACAAGCAGAGAACAACAATGTAATAGGATAATACAATGTGGCAGCGCAGAAACCCCAATAGTAAAAATTTTAGGAATAAGACGGGGCAAGCACTCTTTGAGAGCAAGAGGGGAATTGTCAGAAAATGAGTATATTCTTCAGGGTTTGCCGGGTGGATGATGAGTGCCGTCCTGGGGGAATGCTTGCCTGTGAATTGCTCCCTGATTGCAGCTTTTTATCAGGGTAAATAAGCTTCCTCATGGCCCATTCTTGCGAGCTTTCTCCTCTACAAATAATAGTAAAAGTTATCAAAGATCTCATCATTAATGCTACTGTCAGTGCTGTAGTTGTTTTTCAGCAGCCTTTAGTCCAATGCTTTAGAATTTGACCAGTTCTATCTTTCCAGCACTTTTTTGATGTGGGGTATATTGCCTGTCTGTAAATTACTGTTGTGTACTTTTAAGCATCTGTAGCAAGCATTTCAGCATCTGTTAATTTTGGTTCTAAAAATATCTGTTCAGTTACACCATGGTATGACCGATGTCCGTAACAAATCTTCTACAGCTTTTTGTAAATTCTGATAGAATCAGTGCTGCTGTTTCTTGATCCAAGTTCTGAATGAACTCTTCTGAGGAAGAATGGATTAAACCTCCCGCTTTCATTTCAATCACAACCTCTAAACACTTTTTCCTTCAATGTAAGTGAAGTTACCACTGAGTGGGTGACCTCTAATGTCTGTCTAGTGTAGGCACACACCACATCCCCATTCTTTGCCAGAAAGCTTTTAAAGTTCATCTCTTCTTGTTAGCATACAGAACCGTACTTGGAAGATTTGCAGTAAGAGATCTAGCACTCCCGCTTTTCTGAAAGCATGGTTGTACGCATAACCTTATTTCTGCTGTTCAGGCATTTACAGAAAATGACATTTTTCATTACTTTAGAGCCATCATATCGGTTTTATTTTCCAGGCCAATGCAGAGCCCCACACTTTTCCACAGCTCTTCCTGTACAGTCTTCACTTCATGGTGCCAGTTAGATGCACGCTTCTTCAATCAGTTTCCCACAGACTTAATTTTCACTTTTTCTTTCAGGAGTGGTTCCCGTGTTTCTGTTTCTCTCTCTGGTCAGGTCTCTAGTACCTTTTTTTGTGGTTACCGTTGTGTGAATTGGGAGTCATAAAAGCCGTTGGTGAACAATGTTAGTATCTTGACCAGAGGAGCAGTCTCTTACCAAGTCTATCAGCTGGTGCTTGATATCATTTGCACAGTACCTTTAAAGGTAGTATATGAAAAGCCATATGTGAAAGTCCACTGAGAGGGAACAGTCTCACCTGTCTCTAACTGTGGAGAATTTCAGACCCTTTTTCAACTCTTCTTCCTGAAGAGCCGTGTTCATGCCTGCATTTGATCCCGCGATTGTTGTCTGCCCAGCTGGTTAGAGACACCATCTACCAGCGACTGTGCTGTCGCATTGCAGCTGAACACGTGGACTGGTGCCAGCAGGGGCAGCTTGGGCCGGATTATTTTACATGAAGCCAATGAACCTGTTGGTCAAGCTTTCCTCTTCCGACTACAGGCTTTGAAAATGGAAGGTGAATCAGCGTCACCTATGTCCCAATTCCTCAGCAACAGTGATTTTCTTTCTTTAAACTTACTGTTCTCGGGGTGGTTTTTTTGTTAATGATAACCACTTATTTCCTATCTTTGAACCCTTCAGACGCTGAGGCATTTTCCCAAATTCAGTTCATCCCAAATCTCCCATTTACAACAGTAGCAGAGTGCGAACCCGAATTTCCCGTTACCCGTAATCACCTGGCAACGCTTCATGCAGCAACAGGCCTTTGCTGATGGAGCAATTGCGCAAATCCTGCAGCAAACCGCCAGGACTAGCACTTTGCAGGCTGGCCAGAATGGCGTTCACGAAACGGTGTAGCTTGTGGCCCCATCCCCCCTCCCTCCCCAACGAGTAAAGGAGAAACAGAAGATTGCTCATGAACCCCTCCCTTCCCGCATACACACAATGTGTATTTACATCTTCTCCATTACCCACGAAAATTTCCAAGGAAGCACAGGTTTGTTGCGCTAACAGATAGTCTTGTCTCCTCTCCCCTGCCCCGGTCCTCTACACCCCTCCTCCTTCCCTGTCCCTTAGCGCCGTGCTAGCACAACCCTTCCGTGACCTGTTCAACGTCTCGTTCAGGGAACGCAGAGAGATGCTGGCTTTAGCCATCCTCCTGGAGAACACGAAGAGAAGAAATAAAAGCCGGAGTGGGCTTGATCCTCCCTCCTGAAGCAGGCAGCAACAACAGGGACAGGGGATCCGACTCCTGCTGGAGGTTGTTTGTACCGAGGCTTTTTATAGATTGTATATCCAAATATAGGTCATAGATGCACACGGACACATGCTCGTGAACATATCACATACGGAACTACGCATGTGGCTGCTTACTCTGACTCACTGATCCTGTCTGTCTTTGTACACAAAATTCATTTAGAGGTGACACGAAAAGGGGTACCTACGCTATTCTGCTTTTTTTGCTGTGTTTTGGCTTCATTTTGCTGTCATGCCCACCAGTTTGTGTCTTGGGCCAAAGTCTCCTGCTGTTAAAGGCTGTACAAGCAGATTGCCTTTTTGCCTTTTTTTTTTTTCCCTATTTAAAAGGCATGGTGGTAAAATCCGATCTGGATGAGAATGAGTTGTATTTGGTTGCAGGGAGCTGCTTTGAGGATGCAGGATAGCTAAACCAAGATGGTTGGAATCTCTTCCATAAAGGATGGGCAGCCAGCACAACTGGCTAATGATTTTCAGGAGCTGGGTATGCAAAAAAAGAGCTGGAAATTTTTCCATCAAAAAGAAAAAACAGAAGGCAGATAGATAATGTGCGTCTGGTAACAGCACAGCTAGTGAAACAAGACAGCTCAAACCCCACATCAGTGAAGCAAGTCTTCAGCCAGGCATTCAGTTTTGTGAAAACTTAAGGACAGCCTGAGAAAAAAAGCTTTTTTCCGTTTAATGATTTGCCCGTTCCATGGGAAATCCAGCATGAATTGAACACATCAAGAGCTGCAGCATTCCCACTTAGTTACATTCTCCCCACCTTCAACTTGCAAATTAAGAGATGCTTCTAGCAAGCCATTAACGGCCAAGTTCTGCTCGTTGTGTTTCTAACGCTGTGGGAAGACAGTCGAAGTATTTGGGTAAGGAGGAGCAGTGCCTTTGGCCCTTTGCATTCCCCCTGTGACGGGGTATTCAATACCCTTCTTGACACAATTTTGCACAGCACATAAGTTTGGCAATATTATAGTGACTATAAGCACAAGGGAGCAGTGAGAGAGAAAGCATTTATTAAGACAAGTATAATAGTTATTTTTCCGTGGGATAAACAACTAAATGCGTAAGACAGATGACCTATTAAACAGATCTTAACATTTTCCCCTGCTCTTTCGCTTACCGCAGTGTGAAAAAATTCAATTGACAATGACTGTTTAAGTAATTTGATTACTCATTAGTTAGTTGATGCTTCTCTAGTCTTATATACAGCTGCTGACAAACTAATGAAAAATATATTTTCACTATGGCCGGTTTACACTGTGTCACCATTTAATGGGGAGAGTAAACTAAAGCACTGAAATAGTTCAAAATGCAAGGAGCTCAGCCAATGACTGACATCCTCATTTAGCATTGTGGGTGTCCCCGTTAGCGTGAATTTCTTCCTCCAACCTTAATTACATCAGCTTAGTCATGAACTAATATTATCCCTAAATCTATTGAAACCCACTTCACTTAAATTCAAGAAGCAAACTGCCAACCCTGCAAGAAACAGCTGCAGCGAATACCAACAGCCGCTGAAAAACATAAGGCGAGGCCAGTTATATCACGAGTACTTGCATCAGTACACAGCAAATCCCTCCCCTTCCGAAGGACGCAGCAGGTTTCATTGTTCAGTTCACTGTCAGCTCATTTCAAACGCTCTGAGAAGTGGTTTTTCCCCACAAATTTCTTTAAACATCTCAGTGTCTAAAGTTCTGGCAATGGATACACAGATACAGAACTACTCTGATCAGCAACTAATACTCTCTTGGAGCCTTTGATCTCTGCACATGCGATCCAGTTCACCTTCTCTCCATGCTCAATGGTTAGCTTTGGTAAAACTCTAGCGTGTTCATTTGAAGCCACTTTGTTGAGCTTTCCATCTTTTCTGGTGGAAGCAGGTGCTTGGGCCTTCCTTCTCTGGAGAGATTTTGCTGGACTTTTCTGCTGCTTTCCAACGTCACTGCTGACATCCCAAAGCAAGACTTTCCCGTCATTTCCTCCAGTCAACAACCAGTATGCTTCTGGCATAAAGAGGACCTGGGACACTCCCAAGCTGTGACCCTGAAACTCCAGCTCACGTTCAAACTTGACACCGGTGACTCTGAATATTCTGACTTTACCGTCTTGAGCTCCGCAGCCAAAGATGTTGCCGCATGATGCGACAGACAGGGAATGTGCAAGCGGCGGGTTAAAGAACTGGCCAGCTGACTGCGGACTGTCTTCCTCCGTTTCACACTCCTGCAGGTTTGTGGTCCACAGAGGGCGAGCTTTCTGCAGGTTCCACAGCATAACCTTGAAAAAAAAGTATCAATCAATAATTTATCCATTTCTGATTTTAAGTAAAATCAGATCTTTCACTAACAGTAAAAAAAAAACAACTACACTTCTTGCTCTAGCAGAGCAAAGACTATGCATGAGTGCAAGAGATGCAAGATGTGTTGTGAGGAGAGGTTGAACTTCACCTGATAAATACGGCAATCTTTATGGCGCACTTTCCAAACCCTCATACTGCCCTACTCAGCAGAGTCAATGACTCAGACCACAAAATGGATGAAAAAGCTGTTCCAAATGCTTTTGCATTCATCTCAGCAGTACTAATTATGATATACTGCACATCAATTATTTAAAAGGAGGGACTTGGAAACGCTAGCAGTAAATAGAGATCATTATCATTCTGAATTTTAGTTCTGTTTCTGCTACATTCTTGTCCTAAAATAATCACTTCTGTGAACGTGTTTGAAAAATGGAACAGCAAAAGGCAAACAGTAGTTCAGGCCCTCAATTTTAAACAGACATATATGTATTTTTTTTTACATCCAACAAGTAGGTCTGGTTTGTGCTATTGCCATATCGAAGTAGGGCATGCTTTTCCTGATGAGATGGGGGGAGGTTGTGCTTCTAGACTTCCTTTTAAAATGCCACCCCACCCTCAAACCCCTCATGAAGCAATAACCGTGCCTTCAAATGAATCCTGCGTCTCTCATACTGCAATTCAAGTATTAGAGATTTACATTGCGCCAGTTAAAAATAATTCTCTCAATGCTTTTGTAGTATCTGAATTGATGATGAGCATTTCCAAGGCCAACAGATAGGAAAGCGCAAGTCAGTAATGCAGTACTGGTGTGTTGTTTGCTTTTTTAGTCAAAGTTTTAATTTGTTATTAATAAAGATATTTCTCCACTTGTCATCTCCAGTAGAACGTACAGAAGTCTTTGAATTTGGGCCACAAAAGAGTTATCACACTGGCTCTGCATTTCTGGAATCCAAATCACACCAAGACATCCAAAATATGTTGTTTCCCGTCACTTTGCTGTTTTAGCGACTGCTGTTGCTGCTACATTAAACCTACTTTGCTACCAGTGAAAGGGAAAACTTCCCACGACGACTGTGCAGAGCAGAGTAAATCAGAGAGGCTGTGTCTTAATGCTTAAGGCAAATACTCCCATTTTCATCACAGACAGCACTGCATCAGCTTTATGAATTCATCAGGTGCCAACAAGTTTTCTGTAAACTAAGTATTTTCTGTCCTCGTGGCATTTTCCCTGCTTCTATGGCACTCCTGAAAAAAACACCAGCAACCTAAATTTCAGTTCTCATCAGGTACTGGCTTCACTGAGGGTTTGACATGCCAACCCAGAACACGTTTTGATACTCGTAGAGCTCGTAACTTGTCGAAAGACATGCTGCAGCACAGCATTTTTAGAGTATTGCAGCTCAGCTTCTCTTTCTGAAATGATGTATCTTAAAGCCAGCCTTGATGCGGAAAAATGCTCTTTTCATTGCACAAAAACACACTAGCGGATGCCTACTATTTTGGGATACTGACTTTCACCTAAAAACCAACTTGCCAAGCTACAGTAAACCATACTAAAACTAAAAAGTCACAAAAAAATAACCGTATCACTCGCACAGAAGTGGTATATAAATGGTTACAGTTCTGATAGAAAAGGTTTCCAGCCTATGAATCTGCATTTCAGGGACCTGAAATGAAGCCAGCTGTCTAAGGTGCTGAGCATTTACTCCTCTCTGACTGACACTTTGGTACCTCTGAAAAGAAGTTTCTCACGGTACTTCATTTAAAACCCTACATCCATTTTTTAGTTAACCTATGAATTAAAAAAAAAAAGAATTTGGAAAATTTCTGAAAATTTTGCAAAGTCTAAACCTGGCAGACCTCTATCAGTCAGCCCCTATTTGGATAGATATACTTATTGAATTTGTATGATCCATGGCTTTGATATGGAAAAATACCGCTTAAACTAAATATCAAAACGTGTTTGTTCTAATTGGTGTGAGATGTGCTTAGGTTTTAAGAACATAGGGTGAAACTGCTCAACGCTGTCAAAGCAAACTTCACCCTAATACCGCTAGAGCCACAGAAACCTTTGTAGAAGTGACAGTTTTAATCTCGGGCTAAACCAGGAATGTGGTCAGATCTCAACCACTGGAAAAAAAATTACTGAAAAACATCTGTTCTGGGTGGCCAACTTCGGCAATGTAACTCAAGACTCCATTAACTCCTCGCATGGTTTTTCTCCACAAGAGGCATCCAAAGGACAAAGTTTCCTTTGGACGAGCAGAGAGAAGCGTAAAAGGCAAAGAACATTTAACGCTTCCAAGAGGTTAATCAGAACAAGGGATAAATTTATAAAAATGACTTGTCCTTACAGTGGTACATACCACCTGGATAGATATTCATCTACCTGGTGTAAAGTATTCTTGCTAGCATACTGTCTGCTTCAAGCGTTTTTCTATCATCTGCATTTTGTCTGCAGCCGTAACTAGGGACAACTTCTGATTTTGGGTCCAATGGAGAGCTAATGTGGCCAGAGCATGCCTTGCACCATCTTCTCATTTGCCCCCACCCCACCCACTTCTATAATGTAACTATTAATGAAGATAAAAATAGGGAGAGGAACTGCTGAGTAGAAAATGGCACAAACAGCCTTGACACTGTAAGCTTCTCCACAAAAACTACTTTAAAAAAGTTAAGGAGCTTTCCAGCCACTGCAGGCTGTACATCTTCAGTCTCAGTGAAAGTCTGTTGGTGCCTTGCTACACAGGTGGGTAGTTACTGTTTCGCTTCTCTAATAACTATCTACTTGTATGCAAATCACCTGCATGTCCAGTCCACAGGAAACAAGGCTTTGAGGCCTCTGAGGTCGAAAGACAACAGAGGAGCAGATGTTTGAGTGTCTCAGGGACCGGCTGACTTTCTTGTTTTCCAAGTCCATAACCTTTATTGCCCCTGAGTCATCTGCCGCAGCCAAGAAACTGTCGGTCTCGTTCACCGAGAGGCAGTTGATCTCCTCCTCATTCACGTGGAAGCGTTCAACGGGCTCTGTGAGGGATCGAACATCCAGCAAACTGATAGTTTCTCCGTGGGAGGTGTACAGCCTGTTGGGACAGCGGGGAGAGAATACCACGGAGGTCACGTCGTCTGCCTTCGGGAGCTGGAGCTGTCCTGCCGGAGTGCCTCCTCCATCCCAGAGTGTGAGCTCGCCTCTCTCCGCGCCTGAAGCCACCAGCCCTTCCGTGTTTACGTTCAAGCACAATATAGAGGACGAATGTCCACCAGTCCATTTGACTGCCATATTTCAGGGACACCTCTGAAACAAAAAAACCAAAACCCTGAATTGAGGTGTTGGTCGCATTATGGCGGAAAGCTTATCTAAGCAATAAGATCATCGCGTTGACTGTAATGCACACTACTTGAAACTCTAGCATCCAATTAAAAGAGGCACCTTTACAAATCAATACCCAAATGAAGCTTTGGCTCAAACAGCATCGATGTCAGCCATGACAGCGTGGAACGGCAGCGGTGCGGGCACGTGTACCTGTGCGGTACAGGGAATGGCTCCTCTCCTCTGACATGGCTGCCTAGGTGAGAGCTGCTTCCTCTGCTGCTTCCTCGCAGCGCGTAAGAACACAGCGTGCCTGACAAAACAGGGGCACGGTTCCTGATGGAACGTACTGGAAAGGAGCAAGGGGAAAACGGCAAACTGGTAATTTTCTCGTAACTGGTAATCACTAAAGCATGTTTGCATAAAATGATAAGCAGTGGCATCTTTTTAAAAAAGCATTACCATTTTAAGGCAGGTAGTTACAAGGTTCACAACAGGTTTAATTGGACCTCAAAGCAGCTCAAAGAGTGCCCATCCAGCTTACCGTGCCCCTGGCCCAACCCGTGCGACGGGTCCGTTTAGGGGACCAAATCAGCAGAAAATGAAGTGGGGATAAAAAACGAGCAACACAAAAGCACAAGTTTTGGAGAGACTAGCACGCTGTGGGGGAAAAGCAGAGCTAATACCAGGGGTAGGGGCGCAGATGGCAACGCGGGGTTTGCGGGACGGAGCTATGGCTGTCCCGGCACCAGCTTCGGCGACCGCAGCACTGCCTTAACACCTATGGTTTTATGGCATTATTGGGCAATAAAGTTTTTTTTTGTTTGTTTTACCATGTTATGTTTTGCATGTGATTTTTGTTGAGCCTGCTCTAAGGAGCAGCTAGAA